ATGTGTGAGGCGTGAGGTGTGATGAGCAGATCCGGTCTCCAGTCTCCAGTCTCCATTGCTTCTGACACGATAATCACTCCCTGTCTTTATCGTTTCCAGCACGACGAGCAGGTGGTTGACAGTCCTCCCTTCCCTCCTCACAAGTCCCCACTCCCTGCAACTACTCCAATTTAGGTCTTGTTAGAATCCCTTTGATTTTCTTCCTCAAATGTGTATAGGAGATTACTCTTTGTTCCTTGGAGACTCAAACTTCGATCCAAGAAGGCTCTTTATTCATTCTCCCCAGGTAGATCGATGGCATCATCGATCACGTAACTGTAGGTCAAGCAACAACCATGTTCATGAGTCTTGGTGAGCATCGTAGAGGTGAAATTGCTCTGGGGCTTGACATCCCACATAGATCCAAAAGATCCTCAACAACGGCTTCGTTCAAATTTTTATTAGTTGGGCTTTATTTTGAAAATTTGAGATATAGTGAAGAACAAATAAGACATTTTGTTTTTTCTTTTAGCATTTAATGGCCATGTCAACCATCAGAAACAGTAGGGGACTTTAAGACAATATGTAAACAGTAAGGATTCAATTTGTCAATTAGCTAAATATTAGGGGGCAGTTTAAGAAATTTGTCCAAATATTATTTATCCTCGTATTTCTAAAATTAGAAATTATATTATGTATATTAGAAGTCTTAGTACAAGAAAACAAGAATTTAAATATTTATGTCAAAAATATGGTTTAAATTATAGAAATTTGTATTAGATGTTTGACATAGGTGGAATTACATCTATTTTATATTAAAGAGTTGTATTTCATACAAATACATTCTTACTTCTTTTTATAATAAAAAATTGACCCAAGATTTTATAATTAATGATAATTGGAAAAATTTTGTTCGTACAAAGGACTTTTTTACAATTTTCTATGATGCAACTAATGCATTTTTTAGTATTTATTACTCAACTTCTTGTATTTTGGTAATCAATTATTTATAATTAGTGAGTTTTTAAAATATAGTAATAATTTAAAACTTTAAAATATTGTTTAGCTGAAATATAATATCCTAGTATTAGAAAAGATGGTTTAGATGTTTTACTTTTTTTTATAAGAGTTTAAATGTTTTACTTGAATCTTATTATGAAAATAAGAAAAGTAAATTTTGAACAAAAAAAGATGAAGTTAATAGTTTATTCTTTGAAATGTCCAATGTATATGGATCTCAATTATTAGGATATAGGAAAACTTGTACAACCTCAATTACTAAAGCCTCTAGTTCTAACAATGTTTTCAAATTGCCTTTGACTTGGATGGTCAGACTGTTAGGCTATTGACTTGGGTGGTCGAACCGTCGAGCTGTTTGACTGGTTCAACGGTTTTGGAAAATTTTTATTTTAATTTTTTTGTCAGAATGGATTATTTCATTCGAAATGGATGATTGAACTGTCGACCCAGAAACCGGTGGCCAGAACGGGCCCGGTTCTAGGTCGATTTTTAAAACGTTGAGTTCCAATAGTGGAAGTGATGGGATTTGGTTGTTAATAAATAAAAGGAAAAATCAGCTACCACTTCAACATCAAGTTCATTTTTTAAACTTAATTTTTATTCATAGGCTACTTTTACTAATTTAATAAATTCCCTTAGCTCAAAAGAATTAAATAATTTTGATATTTTAGTCTGGTGGGATGAACATGGAAAAAAATATCTAGTTCTTGCTGCTATGGCATGTGATTTACTAATTCCTCTATACTCCCGTGTCCATAATTCCATCAAAATCTTGTTTTAGTGCAGATACTTTGGATGACAAGAGAAATTTGATAAATGATGAAAGCTTGGTGGTGTATATATGTTTGAAGGATTGCCTAGATGTTAAAGACACACTACAAGATCAGGGAGGGCATGACACTTCACTAGTGTTTCACCAAAAGCAAATAATCTAAATGAAGATGAAGGAGATGGAGGAGGTAGAAATTTGATAAATGATGAAAGCTTGGTGGTGTATATATGTTTGAAGGATTGCCTAGATGTTAAAGACACACTACAAGATCAGGGAGGGCATGACACTTCACTAGTGTTTCACCAAAAGCAAATAATCTAAATGAAGATGAAGGAGATGGAGGAGGTATAATTTAAAAAGTTGAATTTGAAGAAAATATTAAACTAATAAAGTCAATATATATTTTTGTATACTCAATATTTGTACAACATTTTTAAAATTATTGTAAATTTTGTTTTTTCAATTTTATTTAAATTTAATTGTGATTTTCAACACTCAATATCACTACAAATTTTTATTTTAAATTTTATTATATTATCTTTATATTTTATTCTAATTCTATTGTAATTTTTTCATAATATTTTTTACTTTCTATTCATTAAATTCAAATGAAATAAAATACCTGAACTTTTCTTTTCAATTTATTATTTATTTGTATTTTGTTAAGTGTTTTTTGTTAAATTTTTATTTTTTTCATTTTTAATTAATAAAAAACAACAAAATAAAGAAATAATACCTAGAACGTGGCACATCCCATCTTTGAGAGGTTCCACATCATGAAGTTAAACAGGCACGACTAGCCCAAGCATGTGTGACAACATACACAACCCACTTAGGAAGGATGCCACCAGGACCACAACCATTTGCACATACCGCAAAGTTAGAGTTGTAAATAGGGTTGTGTCGCGGCCGAACATAGCTTAGCATGACCTATATATATTATATAATAATTATATACATTTATATATGTATATGTTGATGGAGGGAGATTTGGCCCGAACCCTTGGCCATGCGACACATGAAAGCAACCAAGAGTGACCTAGTAGAAGCGCCAGCTCGGCATGGTAGCGGGCCCACAACCCGAGCTCTCCCTTGGAGGTCCTGAGCCTTACAAGGAGCACAAAGGGCAAAAACTCGAGTTGACCCACCCCGGGGCAGTTCGGGCCACACTTCTATCCGAACTCAAGACTTCACCTCGCACACCACTTCGGCTCCAAGTCGCCTGACTAAACAGCCGTACCTGACGCCTAGGAAGCCCGTACACGAAGGCGGCGCGCCTGACTGATTAAGGGTCCGACACATGACAGCCGCCCTCCAACGACCACCTGCCACCGCCATCTCAGACGTGGCAGAGACGGCCCTGACAAGGAAGACAATG